TATACATATATATATATATATAGTAAACAGTTCTTTTAAATAGTTATATTCCATAATATTAATATTTTACTTTATTTAAGATCAAATAAATGCAGATTTGGTTAGCATAACAGAACTTTCAAAAACATTTTAAAAAAATCTTAAATGGACAGTATGTAAAGCACAACATCATAACATTTGCTGCATGTGAGGAACAGCACATCAGCTGTTTTTCTTATGATTGCTCATGAACTGTGCTGCTTCTGAATTCAATCCAATACAGTTGAAAAATCTCTCTTCCTCTCTCATTAAGATGACTGTACCAGGTGATAACATATAGCATGTCATGAGATGTCTAATGGCTGATGCTAATTGACCCCCTTTCCACCTTTCTTTTGCACAAATGAAAAGATTTCCCCCTTCCTCTTGTGGAGCGTGTCACTATCTGATCCAACAAATTAAAGAGCTCTCACTTGTCACACTGTCACAGCATGCAGCCTCCCGCTCATTAACCATACTTATCATTTTTCCCCTTCATCCAATCACCTGCCAAACACCTGCCAACCTTTTTAAAGCTACACTGAAGCACAACATGCCTGTATTTGTGAGACATGATCTGGTGAAGTACCTTGCTTTATGGTACCTGAGAGCTCCCAGAGATTCTGATTTTTGGGGGGTGTCTAGATGTTTCTAGCACATGGTGTGGGGTAAACTGCTCATTGAATGTGTAAATTAAAACTTGGAACAGCAAATGTTCACATTCCTGACATCTACATGGATCAAGATCAGGTAGGAACCAATATTTTGAAGCACAAACTATGATTATCAGGCATCTTTAGATCTTATTGATGGTGGTAACTCTATTACAGAGTATAGATTTTTAAGCTTGGAAAAAAAAGAGGTCATACCCAGGTTGTACTTTATTTTGATAGTCCACTATCACCTTTGTAACTAGCCTACATGTCAACTAACTCTCATTAGAGTATAATCATAGTATTAGTAGACTTAGTAGTAGCCATTAGTAGATTAGTAGTACTACTTAATTAGTAGTTAAGGTCGGG